CATTTGGGGGATTTTGGGGGACAGTGGCAGAGCCCTGTAGGGACAGGGGGGGTGGGATCATGTGGGGACAGTGACCCCAAAGTGACCCTGAGTGACCCTGAGTGACCCCAAAGTGACCCTGAGTGACCCCTGAGTGACCCTGAGTGACCCTTGAGTGACCCTTGAGTGACCCCAAACAGTGACCGACCCCAAATGCCCCCAAAACCCCCAACCACCCGCCCACAAAACCCCAAAAAACCCCAAAAAACCCCAAGAACCCCAAAAAACCTTCAAAAAAACCCCCCCAAAAAAACCTCAAAAAAACTCCCAAAAAACCCAAAAAAAACCCCCCAAAAAAGCCCCGAAAACACAAAAAAAAAAAACCAAAAAACTAAAAAAAAAACAACCAAAAAACCCCAAAAAAACCCCCCAAAAACCCCCAAAAACCCCCAAAAACCCCCAAAAACCCCCAAAAACCCCCAAAAACCCCCAAAAACCCCCAAAAACCCCCAAAAACCCCCAAAAACCCCCAAAAACCCCCAAAAACCCCCAAAAACCCCCAAAAACCCCCAAAAACCCCCAAAAACCCCCAAAAACCCCCAAAAACCCCCAAAAACCCCCAAAAACCCCCAAAAACCCCCAAAAACCCCCAAAAACCCCCAAAAACCCCCAAAAACCCCCAAAAACCCCCAAAAACCCCCAAAAACCCCCAAAAACCCCCAAAAACCCCCAAAAACCCCCAAAAACCCCCAAAAACCCCCAAAAACCCCCAAAAACCCCCAAAAACCCCCAAAAACCCCCAAAAACCCCCAAAAACCCCCAAAAACCCCCAAAAACCCCCAAAAACCCCCAAAAACCCCCAAAAACCCCCAAAAACCCCCAAAAACCCCCAAAAACCCCCAAAAACCCCCAAAAACCCCCAAAAACCCCCAAAAACCCCCAAAAACCCCCAAAAACCCCCAAAAACCCCCAAAAACCCCCAAAAACCCCCAAAAACCCCCAAAAACCCCCAAAAACCCCCAAAAACCCCCAAAAACCCCCAAAAACCCCCAAAAACCCCCAAAAACCCCCAAAAACCCCCAAAAACCCCCAAAAACCCCCAAAAACCCCCAAAAACCCCCAAAAACCCCCAAAAACCCCCAAAAACCCCCAAAAACCCCCAAAAACCCCCAAAAACCCCCAAAAACCCCCAAAAACCCCCAAAAACCCCCAAAAACCCCCAAAAACCCCCAAAAACCCCCAAAAACCCCCAAAAACCCCCAAAAACCCCCAAAAACCCCCAAAAACCCCCAAAAACCCCCAAAAACCCCCAAAAACCCCCAAAAACCCCCAAAAACCCCCAAAAACCCCCAAAAACCCCCAAAAACCCCCAAAAACCCCCAAAAACCCCCAAAAACCCCCAAAAACCCCCAAAAACCCCCAAAAACCCCCAAAAACCCCCAAAAACCCCCAAAAACCCCCAAAAACCCCCAAAAACCCCCAAAAACCCCCAAAAACCCCCAAAAACCCCCAAAAACCCCCAAAAACCCCCAAAAACCCCCAAAAACCCCCAAAAACCCCCAAAAACCCCCAAAAACCCCCAAAAACCCCCAAAAACCCCCAAAAACCCCCAAAAACCCCCAAAAAAACCAAAAAAAACCCCAAAAACCCCCAAAAACCCCCAAGCACGCCCACCCCGTGAGCGCCGAAGGCCGGGACCTTCCCGGCGGCGTTGGGGACGTTCCCGGTGACGCTCCCGGCGTTCCTGACGCCGCCGGAGTTGCCGGAGTTGCCGGAGTTGCCGCAGGGGTTGATCCGTTTCTCCTTCTGGCGCCGGTTGCAGAACCAGACCCGGATCACCTCCTTCTCCATGTGCAGCTGCTCCGCGATCAGCAGGATCTCCTCCGACGTCGGCTTCTGGTTCTGGACAGCCGGGAAAAGCGGGAACGGGCCGGGAAAAAGAACGGGAATGGCGGGGAAA